TTAGAGGTTATGGGTTATGATAAGGCGTGATAATTAATTGGAGTTCGAGATATTTTTGATTAACTTTTTCTGAAGGTCGTAGAGACTTGGAAATTGGGTCCTTCTGAGCTAATGTGGTTACGCCCGATCGCTTGGTTCTATCTCCGACTTCTACGTTCTTCAGAAGAGGTCAAACAATCAAATCTAAAGAGAAAGTAGGAGATATTTTTGAATAACTTTTTTTGTCAAGGTCTTAGAGACTTGGACCTTTCATTATTAATAAAGGGGAGCCTGACAGGTACCCACTCCAAATTTCATCAGTATGCATTGTGGAATGGTTAGGGTTAGGGTTAGGGTTGTAAGTAGGGTTAGAGTGTGATTAGGGTTAGGGTTGTAAGTAGGGTTGTAACTAGGGTTAGGCTAAGGGTTGTTACTAGGGTTAGAATAAGGGTAGGGTTAGGGGTTAGAGTTAGGGTTCAAATCAGGGTTAGGGTTGGAATAAGGGTTAGGTTTTTTTTTCAGGGTAATTCTTGCCAATATTTTTAATCTTTCATTTTACGTGTTTCTAATTTGGCTTGTCCTTTATTGATTTCTAATGATTGTTTGATTTCGATTAACTTGTTTTGATTATTGTTTGATTTTGGTTAAATTGTTTTGATAATTTATTGTTTGGTTAGGTTATTTGGCTTATTGATTGGTTTAGTGTTAGGCATGTTGTTGTGATGGGTTAGGTTTATTGAGTTAGGGGCTTGGGAATGCATTTTGTCAATGAGTGTCCTCACAACCATAGAGAGTTGTGCATGTGTGCAGTGATGCAGCTGCTGCTGATGGTGAGCTTTTAGAGGGGCTCTGACTCCATCCTCCACAGCGCCCTTTACCAGCCTCCAGGGAGCGCTCTTTGAGCCTATTTTTCTTCCCAGTCACAGGACTAGAACTGAAGACTTCCCCCTTCATCTTACAAAATGACAAGCACTGACAATGAGGACTTTCCTATTTGACACAGGGCAGGCTCCACAGACATTTTGTTCTCCCTGCTGCGAGCTGTTGGCTGAACACATCCTGTGAATCTACAAAGAGAGGTGAACAAAGTCTGGACTGAGGGACAGGGAGGTGGACAGCGTGGTGGAGGGCTGTGGTATCAAGTGTGACAAGCCAAAATAGAAAAAGCGCCAGGTCCCTCTTGTTTTTTTATGAAACACTGGAGGCTTTGGAATATATGTCCAACCTGTAACACATTATATTATTTTACAAGCCACACAAGAGGTGGACATGAATCTGTCAACAATGAACCACAGGAGATCTCTGACCATTCATGCCCCCCTCCCCCCTTTCTCCCAGTGATTAGTTTTCACAATCAGTGGATGAAAATTGGAATTCACTGACAGCTCATCGATCATATTTTGGCTGCAATCTCTTGAGCAGCTCCGCATGTGCCAGTAGATATATTGTAAAGTCAATTTGCTCTCCGACACTCAAATATATCTCCATACCACAGGTTTTCAGTTTCAATCTCCCCTCAAGTAGAAGAGAGTGGGCTGCTTGTCACAAGAGTCATTAGTCCCAGGAGCCATGAAACAACTCTGTTACCTTCAGCTGACTTATTATGTTCAGCAGGAAAACAATTTCAGACTATTGTTGTACAGGCCATGTTTTATTTGAGAAATGTTTGGTTGCAAATTACAAGATGTGTTTTACATACTTATGAGGATTTTCTGCTAAAATAACAAAACATTTTCCAATTATCTGCAAATCAAAACACATAATTGTGCTTTTTAAGGATGAAACATGTACCAAATATGTCTATATATATTACAGTAGGTTCATTTTTTTGTTAACGCTGTGGCCGCACAACTTCTTACATTTTCAGATTTTTCAGTTTTATTAAAATACTGCATGTTTTGTTAAATAACTGGTAATATTTCAATATCTTATACTATACATTTAAGAAATAGAATAATTAAGACTTTGCCACAACTTGTTACTTATAAATGAAGACATATTTTGAGATTTAATTAAAGTGGCAGAAATAACTACTCTTTTTTCTATACTATTAAAAGGTAGGGGGATGAATGCTTTGCTCAAGGACACATCAGTGGTGTCAAGGAGGAAATGGAAAATTCCACCCTTGTACTTTACCTACATTTTCACTTTCCAAGATATTTCTAAACTGTTCACGAATGGATGCACATGTTGTATATTACTTTCCTACTATGCAATGAACAGATGAAGAGGGGGAGGTACTCACAGCTGTACTTTTTTTAACAGTGCTGAGACGGCTCCAGAAAGAACTCAGAAACAGAGAATCACATATTTCCCCTAAAACAATGTTTCACTTGGTCAAGTTTAATTGGCAGTGTCATTACAAAGTCTAATGCCTTGTCCCATTACCATACTCTGTATAGTGTGAACAATATACCAACTGTTGGCAGTAATATGTTTTCAGACATAGCGAATTAAACATAAAAGCAGAAAATGTATCAATTTTACTGGATTTATATTTCAAACCTTTATAAAATATTTATCTTGTTATTTTTCTCTTTGTTTCTGTGTTTGTTCTGTTTCTGTTCAACCTTTTTCCCTGACATTTTGTGAAGGGTTGTGGGTTTTTCCTTAACTAAGCCCAATTACAAGGACATTTCTTGTTGTGTGTGTACAAATCCACAAGTTGCACTCTCATGCTCACACTGCCTGGTTCACTGAGTTCATTGTGTTCAGCAGTCTGGAGAAATGGATGCAGCCTCTCCGCTTTCTCTCTCTCACCCAACTCTTCCCCTGTGCTCAATACAAAGTAGAGTGATTAATTAGAAAGTCCTGCAGCAATAAAGGCTCCAAATAAGTTGTCATCACTGGTCCTGAGGGTGTCTCTCTTTGGTGTGGCTCGAAACACATCACCTTGCCATTCCCCTCACTACAAGACCTCACGTTGTGCGCTCACATATATCCAAATGCAATCCTCAAAACCCAAGGGAATAAACTCAATTTGTGGTTGGTGGTGGCCCGACCAGCAATTTCTATCTTTGATTGAAGAAGTAATCAGCAGTGGTGGTAAAGTTCAGTCATTAAATATTCTGATCACTCTCACTCTTGCCAGGGAAATCTCGTTGATGCCATTTAATAGCAGCACAGTGCGGAGAAGGAGAAAGCACTGTCATTACTTTTAAGGAGCCATTTCATTCTGACAGCTGGGACGTGGGTTGGGAACCCCCTCTACTGGGTTCCTGGAGAACTGCTGCCTCCACTGCTAACCACCAAAACAATACTGACCGGCTGACTATGGGCCAGATGACGGTGTGGCAGTGTGGACCAGAGCTGGGCCCAAACTATTTTGTTAGTTGGGATAAAATAATGAATGCACAAAAGAGATATCGAGATATCTCTCATTAACCCTGCACGTGGACAGGATCTGATATTTTCTGAAATGCAATCTTCAACTGAATTGTTCTGTCATGAAGACTTGCAGCACGTTAAGTAAACAGTAGATGGCAGCAATGATATCAGCGAGCCTTTCCGGGTGTCTCTCTGGAATGCAGAAGAGGAAGTAGAAGGAGGAGGAGAAAGAGGAGGAGGAGGAGAAAGAGGAGGAGGAGGAGGAAGAAAAAGAAAGAGGAAGAAGGTGTTGCTTCTGTTGCCGCTTGAGTGTGTGAGGAAACTTACAGGACACAGCTTCACACAGTTGCAAGCAGGTTTTTCATTGAGATTCAAACCAGGTTTTCTACATTATTCAGGTTTGTACTTTTCCGCTGTACTTTTCCAAACATCCAGAAGAGGATGTTCAGCTGTCCAGACTGTGCATCAGTGTTGTGGGATTCACTTCCATGTCAGTGGCTGCTTTGTGGCTGTCAGACTGACTCATGTTTTCCTCAGGTGACGGTGTGGAGATGCAGCCCAGCAGCAGTGGAACTGCCCCTCAGAGGATGCAGGGGTCATGGACCACCCTGTTGAGCCACCTCACTGAAAACCCAGATGTAACCCCAGATAAAATCACCTGCATCGTCTTTATCCACTGTCTTTATCTCCTCCCCGAATGACCCGTGTCTTCCCCAGGCGGTGCAGGTGATGAAGACCAGACTGCTGCAGTACCTGGGCAGCCATCCTTTCTTGACCCTCACGTTGATGCTGTTCGGCGCCATGGCTGCGGTGCCTGTTGGACTTTTCCTCATCTTTGCTCTTGTCACCACGATTATGTCAGCAGTAGGTTTTGTTTTCTTTGAGGGTAAGTGCACTCGAGTCAATATCGGCCTAACAATGTGTCTTGATATTTTTACAATACTGCACCCGACGGTAGATTTTCATTCAACTTGTTCCTCCTCACTGTTTTCTTTCAGTGTTCCTGTTGTTTGTGGCAGGGTTGACTCTGCTGTGCGTCCTCTGTGGCCTCGCCTTCTTCTCTGTCACAGTTTCACTCATCCTAAATGCTTTTCATATTTCCCTCTCCAACGTCCTCAAGTATTACCCAAAACTGCCCCAGGTAATGAACTGTAGACTCAGATCTAGATGTTTTATCATACATGTGAGATTCTACACAGACTTTTTTAATCGTACTTACTGTGACCCAGCGTCACAAACCGCTGTTAAATGTTAGACACTGGTTTATTTTGTTCTCTTCTCCATTATTCCTGTCAGCAGGTTAACGTCCAGGAGAAGGAGACGGATTCCAAAACTCAAGACTGAAGGACACACAGACGCTCTCTTCCTCTCCTCTCTATTTTCTTCCTTGAAATATGCAGGAGCCTTGAATCCGCACCACTGAAGCTCCATGGTTTGGATTCAGAGAACAGAGATGCTTGAATGTGTGGTTACTTGATTCTGGGATCTGCTGTTGTAAATGGATTTTCCAAGCACAAATTCTTACTGAATGTTACTGAATATTTTATCAGTGTAATATCTTAAACAGGAAGTCTAATGATCTTATATATATATATATTTATATATTTCAATGGTTTTATAATGTCTACATGAAAAACTACAAACATGAAAAATTAGTGCCTAATTAGCCAGTAGGCAGTTAGTCTGATCTGGACATACACTAACTATCTCGTGATGGCAGCTCTTAAAGGAAAAAGCCAATTTAAATGCACTACAAAACTTGCCTCTTCCCTGACCCACATCACATATTTCCACAAAGTTTCGTGGCAATCCATCCGGTAGTTTTGATGTAATGCTGCTGACTAACGAACAAATCACAAAACGTGATAAAAACATGTTACATGATTGTTTGCTGTTACCTCTCAAATGTTTTGCATCTGTAGAGCAGCGTTGAATAAAAGCTCATCAGAATGAAAGTGTTCCCTGGTTTTCTGTCAAAACATCTTGGCAATAAAATAGTAAAGGACACAAAACATCGTACTCATGGCAACTGAATGTTTTCAATCATACATTTCTGGCTCTTTTAAATTATTCTGATTTATTCATGTGGTATAATTAAACTACTGTTAATATTTGTTTACAAATGATTATCTTGTGAATTAAAGTCATTAAGCATTTAACTGAAGTGTTCCTTCACAAACATGTTTTTTAAAAACACTTACATATTTTGAAATACTGAAATCTTAAAGTGTTCTAAAGGAATCTTTGAGATAATGAAAAATATATAATTGTGTGTATACTTTTTCCACAAAAAATGTATCACAAATAATTAGTAAAATACATCTTTTGAACTTTTGTCACTTTCTTTTTTAATAAATATGCAATATGCTCAGCGTTCTCCATTTTTCAGTGTTTCTTGTTTATATCATTTTTTCCCAATTATTCCTTATGACTTTATATCTATAATAATTGAACCTCATATTTTATATATTGTCATGTACATTCATGTTTTATCCTTGACTTCTCCTTCGTGGAAAAATACAGAATTTACAATTTTAACATTTTTAAGAGCTCAAACATCCAAGTAACGAGGTGTACAATATGTTTATAGGATAAAGCTGTACTCCAATCAGCTCTTGTAACACAATCACAAAGCGACACTGGAGGTTGATTCTCATAAAATCTTTAATGGAGGTGATATTCTGCAAAAAAAAAAGATGTAAAAAGTTGAAATAATCCTTGAGGAATGGCAATTTTGAAAAGATTAGGGAGGACTTTAAATTAACAATAAATTCATTCATTGAACAGCATGATAACCTATTTAAATTACTGAGCACTACAATGTCAGATCTGTTGAACTGGTCACACTTCAGTTCACAAATGAGAAGTCACAACCACTCGAAGTGCTGGAGGATTCTCCTCAGCCCTGACCTTCAGTCATTCATCACTGACATGTCACTGTTGGATGGTGATCGTGCGTTGCTTACTGGAATGCAATAATGACAGAAACAAACTTTGTGCTATCTCTATATCCAAAAAGCATTGCTTTAAAGATTGTATGAAATCTATATCAAAGCTGCAGAACAACTGCATTGAATGGTAGCTTCTTTAAAACAGTAAGCTGAAGAAAAGACGCGAAGACATGAGGAGCTTCATTCATTCCACATTTGAATTTACTGACACTGATGACTAAAAGACTGCTGGCATTTTAAGTAAAGTATTTTACAGGTTACATCTTAAAGTGAATGAGCTGTAAATACAAAAAGTACTGATTTGTAAAAGAGAGAAAATCGTTTTTTTAATGTTTTGAAAAATATTAGATGGCAAAATTTTGTGTGTGATGTGTTGACCTTTGTAAAATGTTGACAAGAGAGCATATGCAAAAAAAATACTGAGACAAAAACAAATCGTAATGTAGAGAAAATTAAATGGATATAATCCTCATCAGGCACTCGGATACATTACTCTTTAGCTCTCTGTAATAAGACTGTACATTTGTGCATTTCATTACCAAGTCAATCAAGGTACTTTTCAGACATGACTCCATTTGTGACATTATAAAAATAAGAAATAAAAAAGCGTATACACCTCGCATGTAAAAAAACAAAAAACAAAAAGAAGCCTTTCTCCTATTTGAACAGCAATGAAAAGAAGTTTAAGGCAAGATGCTGAATACAGAAATCCAGAGGTTGATTCAGGATGGTCTTTGTTCAGCTCTGGAGTTTGTTGGCATTTACCAGTTCAATCAGCAATCATCAAGAAGACTAGTGTTTTTCCCCGTTAGTTTGCTCTCTGTCTCAGGCATCCTTTGCTATAGGTCACGAGATTCCACGATGTCATCTCCCCACCCCCTGAGTCTGCTGGGAGTCGCTGTCTCCTTCTCCATGCTTTACGCAGGCAGACTCAGCTTCTTGCCTTTCAACACTGGGGGATGAGAAAAAAAAGTTAGACACTCATCATAGGAACCTAAGCACCACAGACAAAATCCTGTCCTGGTTTTGTGAGACAAATCTGAGGCCAAAATGAGTGCGCACTTCTTTTCTAGCACAAAATTCCCTTTGTGCGTTTCCTGGGACTGTGACTTGCTTAACTACTGTGAAGGGCCAGTGGCACAAAGAGTGAATTTTGTACTAAAAACCATAACTTTGGAAGAGACATACTTCATTAACCAAATGCTGAAGCCTCATATTAGCTCCAGCTGAACTGTGTAATAAAGTCTGTCAGGGTACAAGGACTGTGGATTTTGTCCCTGATTTCTTACACTGAAGTAATAATTCTAAGAAGGAGTACAGAACATATGGGCTTATGAGAATTGTATGACTGTTTATTAACTTAATATATGACTATAATATTTTATGTGCATAAAATGTTTCTTTTTTGTTCCCCTAAAATGTTGCTCAATGGATGACACCAGTAAAGAACCCACCTTTGGTGAAATAAAGGTAGAAGAAGTCACAGTAGAGGACAGTCTGGACCACGCCAGCCACAATGGCAATCATGTCAAAGAAGCCCTCAAAATAGAAACGCCAGATCCAGTTGAAGAGGTAGAGAGCACGATACAGGCCCAGGCAGAACAGGTAATGGGTGGTGATTGTCTCCGCCTCGCCAGTCTTGCTGATCATAAAGAGCTGAGGCAGGATTGCCACCGACTCCAGGTAGATGGAGAACGTCCAAAAGATCTGATGACAAAGTGAGCAGGAGTGTAATTAATGTCACGTTTACAAATGGAATCCTGTACGTATTCTCATAATCAACTAATTTACAGAACGTTTAACCTACCTCTAGGAAAGAGAAGTCATGGTTGATGAGAACGGCGAGACCTCCTACGGGAACTACCAGGAACTCCACCCGGAAACTGTCATGGTTGCCATCATAGGTAGCCCTGAATTTCATGTAGATCAGGTAGACCGTGGCACACGAACAACCGATGTAGATCACCTGGTAAACCACACAGAATCATTCCACACATCATTCAGGGTACTGGGAATAATAGGAGACCTGTGTAAAGGGATTCTATTCAGAGCTGAACTGGTGTCTCACCTTCATGCATGTGTTGTAGAGGGAGATGAAGGAGGTGAGCAGATCCAAGTAGCGTGTTGTGAACACGATGGCAAACAGGATTTGGCTCTTTCCAGAGATACCTTGAACAAAAACAATCAAGCACATTTACCATTTAGGTGAAAAGTATTCCGAAGCCACAAGCAAATTGAGAATGGCTTCACTAGCAGTAAACATGAATAATAACGATTTCCTTATTGAACAGTGACATCTACTGGAATCATGGTTTATCTGCACTCTCAGACACTAATAACTATGTTTTTCTTCAATTTGGACTTTTAACCCATCAGTTTTACTTTCTAACATTATTCCAGGTAAGTTTTACGATAATAAATATTGAATAGTCTAAATGCTGCCACTGACGACCCTGAAAGGCAATATGATAGACAGTTGATATGAGCATCTCAAGTATGTGGATTAGCATCCTTGAACCAGCACTATATCAGACATCACGAGATGAGCAGACAACAATACATACTGTATGTACAGGTTTGTCTTGGAGTGTGTTTTTTTTACTGACCTCATCACACACAAAATAGTGTTTCTAACTGTTACTATTTTTGGGTGCAGACAAATAGGAACAAAAAAGGCAACTCTGCTTTTCGTCCCCCAACCTTGACGTTTGATCAAAGCTAAACTTTTAATCTTATAACTGAGCTTATCCCTCATCCTTCAGTAGATATACACAAGTGTGTCTCGCTCTGAGTTCAGCAGCTTTACAGTATGTATGGCCAAGGTCATTGTGGTTGACATACATGAATCCAGGTGGATGATAATCGACTGTGAAGGTGAATTATGTATGATCGCAGGATGAGACAACGACAGCCAAGTGGGGTCGACCACAAAAACATAGTAGCTTTTGGTTGATGCTGTGATGTTAGCGGTCAAAGTTCACCACCTCCACGTGACACAATGCTGCAGATTTACTCCCTCACAAGACGTGAATCCCCTCACACAGTATGGATGTGCTACATTCACATATGTATGACTGTGAAAGGCAGTATTTAAAAGTTGCTTGGTGGTTGACATCCTCTGTTGTCTCTTTGTTTTGTTTTTGGCCTGTTGGGGTTTGCATCTTCTGTATATATATGTGTATATATATATATATGTATATATATGCTCCTGAATTGAATCATGATCATCGCTACATGATGTCCATCTAACCACAATTATACACAAACAGAACCATCTATCTGTTATCTGTTGCCTGAACTGACCTCTTAACTTTGAACCTAACCCCCACAGCTTTGTGCCCAATAACTTTTTCACCTCTCACAAACCCTTCTAGTAGCAGTGGTTAGAAATCACTCATATCTATTGTGGCCCAATGTGCAGCTTTACTCTTAACACATGAGTAAAGTCTATTAGAGAGCTTCAAACTAAGTGAGTATAGTAGAAACAAACAAACAGAAAGTAACAAACTATTTTAGCAGATTAGCTACTTCGTTCGGAGAGCGCCACGTCAGAAGCCAGACCAAAAGAGTCGAGCACCAAACCTGAAGTTAGCAGAGCAGTGGTGTGTGTGTGTGTGTGTGTGTGTGTGTGTGTGTGTGTGTGTGTGTGTGTGTGTGTGTACTGCAGTGAATAATAACAACTTCTACATCAACCTTACATTAATCTTGACTTATTACTATCCCTCTGTTAAGCTGCAGACAGCACACAGCTCCTCAACCCTGAGTTTAGCTAGCGTAGTTTACTCACACTGAGCCAGCTAATGCTAAGCTACATTTTGATATTGTTGCCACCAACCTCAGTATCTTAACCTGTAGGAAATGTAACAGAAGTAATGGAAGTGGGCGCAGACACAGCACTTTCTATTAGTTAGCAGTTAGCTAGCGCCTTTAGCCACTGGCTCAAATGAATGAGCACGGAGCGTTAGCATGTGGCTAGCTACCTTGGAGCGTGCTAGTTGATGGGGGAAAACGTTTCAGCGTTTAAAGAAAAGGCAAAGTTCACCAGAGGCGTTAGAGGAACGACGGTGCATCGCGTGTGATCGTGAACAAAACTGCGGCTCACCTGCACAGGATCTGCTTTTCCATATCTTGAGCAGCAGGATGATGATGGCAGCCAGATGAGAGAGGTCCCCGGTCAGTCTGAAGATGTTCATGGCGGCGGGATGGGTTGGCAGACGCGGCTAACGCAGATCAGTCTCCTCGCAGCTCAGAAGCAGCCTCCTGGTCACACTTGTGAGTCCCGGGCGAAGGTTTCAGCGGCTCGGCTCGGCGGCAGACGGGGCTGCGGGTCCTCGGTGGGATTGAAAATATGGCGAGAGTGCAGGTCGACGTGGAAGGGGGCGTGAGGAAACACAGGGAGGCGTTTGGATTGGACGAAAATCGGACTGACAGCACGAGAAGACCCGCCCACAACGAGGGGAACGAGGGGGTTGGGAGTGGGGGGGCAAAACCACGAGCCCCGAGTCCACGAGGAGCTGCAGGGTGGGACCGGTGCCTCCATCACTACCAGAACCCCACCTGAATTCATGATCTCAAAGGGATAGTTCACTGAAAAATGGAAATTCACACATCTGCTCACATCTATGCAGGTGGAGGGGTGGGGGAAGTGTTTGAGTCCACAAAACACTTTTGGAGTTTCAGGGGTAAACAGCCTTGTGGCCGAATCCAATGCAATTGAAGTGGTTCTTCAAAAATAATAGTAGTATCTAGAAAAAAAAAAGTAGATGGATGCACTTAATGCAAAGAAGTTAGAGGAAGAAGCAATTACATTTCAGTGCAGATCAGGGAGCAGTTCCAGGATTTTAGATAGGGCATAGTTCAACATTATCATCTTTTTTCCAGATAATAATGCATGGAGCTTGATGGGGGGAAAAAATCTTGGCACATTTAGGTAATGGATATCTGTGAGTCTTAGCAATTTGGTGCAGCTTGACTGAATTTAAGGAGACTGCTGGGCCTTGGACCTTACACTTTCTACTGAGTGATATTCAGTTCTCATTGTTTCCCACACAGAAAACAAGATTCTGACCATCTATTTAAATTGCATATTTTCCATTTAGTGAAAAGCATATTACAAGAGTCTCTGAAATGCTCCTTTCTGATTATTTCTGACCACATGCTGTGAAATTTTCTCCTTTCATTTATTGTGAAAACACATGTGATTGTAGAACCTCCTTTTTTCCAAAATGTAGTTCGCATTATTTAACAGGCTGAAGATGCACCTTGTGGTTTCCTGTTTGCAATCACACAGAATCTTAGTAAATCCTCAATCTGTCTTAGTTTCAATCTTTATCATTGAATCTACACTCCTTTGATTGAACCGTCATAATATCATATTACTATTTGATGAGGTGACATGTTTGTAAAAGTCCAAAGGTCAGATGTTTAATATAGGAGAGAGAAAAAAGTAGGAACCAAGTGTTGAGGTACTTCTGCATACTCACTTCCCATGTTGTCAGCATTTAGAGAACATCATACAAGGAATCATGAGATCACTCACAAGTGTTCGAGCTACAGACATGGACCGGTTGTTTTGCGTTTCTCTAATGCTCACCCACCTGCCGCTAACAGGTAAAATGTCTTTCTGTCCGGGCATTATGTTCATTGTTTGGAGGTTTTGTTTGTTTCATTGTAAGCAAGATTACGCTGAAACAACTGAAAAGGATTTTCACGAAACTTTATGGAAGCATGTAGTATATAGGTCTGGGAAGAACCCATCAAATTGTGTTGTTGATTTAGATCAGGGAGCTGATCCAGGATTTGTTCTTTTTTTTTTTGAGTTACAACATTTTCAACAATTTCATCATTTTCAAAAAAGTTTCAAGGAATAATTCATGGATATTGATTTTTTCAAAAAAAGGCATAATAAGGGGACTGATATCTGAGTATGTGTGAATTTTTGTGTAGCTTGAATTTAAGGGGAGTGTTGGGCCTCGGTGGAGGTACTGCCTCTACTGAGTTTCATTCTAGTTCTCATTATTCCCCGTTCACAATACGAATTAGGCATCGCAGCTGGTGTTCGTGGTTAGTTTGAAATGTTTGGATTAAAGTCAGTGAATTTGACGTTTATTAAATGTGTCTCTTTCTAGACAGCACGGGGAAAGAACAGAGATGGAGGGAGATCTGGAGAAAAACAGGACAAGTGGTTGTTCTGCCTTGTGATGTCAGCTCAAACTCCTCCAGCCACAATTATCAGTGGTTTGTTTTCAAAGAAAACTCCCACTTTCATCTCAACCTAAGTGGGATTTCACTCAAACACAGCCTCAAGGGAGCCTCTTTACGCATCGAGCAACTTAATACTTATGACAGCGGGATCTACCACTGTGCTGCAGTGAAACATTTTCAAAGAACAAAAAACTCATCGTTGGTAGGGCTGGGTACGTCTCTTACAGTGAAAGGTAAGAGAAGAACTTTGAAGGTTACACACAGACGCCTGGATGCTTTGATTCAGACCAATAACAAACAACTTTCCTTTTGCTTTCAGGACATGTTAAAACTATGGTAAAGAACATTCTTCTGTGGTTGTCATTTGTCCTCCTTCTCCTCTACAGCGTGGCAATAGTGACGCTTGTCATCTTAAAAAAGGTTCATTACTTCAACATATTTATTCAAAATTCATACAAAGACTGAAAATGGAAAATGTGCTGATGTGAAATTAACCTCTGCCTCTTTGTTCTAGTATGGCTGCAGAAGGATGGGCAAAATCAACAAGGTTTGTTTGAATTTGTGTTAGATGTGTTAACTGTGAAGCCAAGAGAACAAAAAAGAGGAACAGGAACCAAGGCCCCCGTTAAGTCTGGTGTTAAATTCTTCAAAATTAAAAACAGAAAAACATCTCTGAATGTGCTATGATAAATTTCAATTCTCTTTTCAAGCAGAAACACTCAACTAAAACAAGATTCCACGATGTGCTGCAAGAAATGAACAAGAAAAGACATTTGGAAGGAGGAAAACAAACTTCAGGCCAAAACGGTTCACAAGTTGAGGTAAATCTTGTTGCAGCATGTAATGATTAGAGTTTGTCAATAGGTGGGTTAGGTAAGCTTGAAACTTCTGCATTGCTTGTGTTACAGCATATTTCCTGCCAATTTGAAAATGTACTTTTTAAAATCATTATTTTTCATTTAATATTAATTACTTTCAGACAGCAAGTCCTGAATTCAACAGCTCAACTGATGGCATCTATCAAAATGTCAAAAGAGTTGATGAAGTATGTTGAATGACAGTCAGACCTCCATCGTCTGAGAAGATTTCCAAAACTACGCAACAGCTGACAGGAGGACGCTCATGTGACTGAGGAAATTGACACATCAGCAGAGGATGCAAGTTGGCTCTATGCCCGGTCACGTATTTATTTTTTTAATGAAATGAGACATACACACCACAACAAAGGTGCTGATTCACTTTTTCTTTCCTCTCTAATTTTTCAGTTTTAGACATGAACATACGGCATTTATGGTCCTGCATTAAATGTA